TTTCCCTAATTTCTAGTCCTAATTCTAACGCTAAATTGTCCCTGGAAATATTTCCATTTAGGGATGTGGGGGTCTCAGGTGACGGTGGTGCGAAGGAGGGTTTGCGCGAAGAGGGAGTGCGGGAAATCCACTGTGCGCCGCCGGGACTGAAGGAGCCCGGGCTGTGCCGCAGGTTCCCTTTTCTTTAGCAGCTTTCAGGATTGATTGGAAACCGCTCCGTAGACAGGGATTCCAATGTCATCTTCAATTAACAAGGAACAATTAGCGCAGTGATTACCCTGGCTCCAAGGTCTACGCATCAGAGGAGATGAAACAGCCTGGCACAGCTACCCAGTTCCCAGCCCCAGCCTGCTTCACAGGCAGCCCCAGAGGAGGTGCCGGGGGAGGGATGGAGGGGGACGGGGGGGGACTGCTTATGAATCTCGATGGCGGCGTGTTGAACTTGAGCGGAGGGGAGAGGGCTCCGGGCCGAAATGGGTGCACTTTCCTCTACCTGCATTTGTTAGAAGGAAAGGCCCTGACCCCGCTCCTGCCACCCCGGAGGCTCGCAGCGGTCCGTCGTTGCGTAGCCCGGAGTCCTGGGGCCGGGGTCCCCTGCTCGGAGCCCCCTGCTCCCTGCCCCGGCTGGAGCGACTCCTCACTGCACAGGGCAACACTTTGCACCGCTCTTGCTTCCCACATCCTTCTTGCCTCTTACCCTTCCATGGAGAGCTCAAGTTCAGCTAAAATAAGTTTTGGAGTCGGTAACTTGTTATTTGGGATTTACCCTTACAGCTTTCTTTTCCATCTAACGAGACGCCGTTTGAACTTCTTGATCATATCTGAAACTTCGTTACCTCTTCCCCCTAACGCTGTGTGTTTAGGCACAGTTTGGGTACTTAAGTGACTGGAGTTAGGGAAGAAACTTAATACGAGGCAACATTTGTTCCTTTCCTACCGTTGAGAGGGCTGAAACCATTCTCCTTAATTACATTTGTTAGGATTTAGTTACAAAGAACAACATTCGTTCGCTGGCCTCTTGTACAGTTTGATCATTTATGTGCCAGTAAAACGGGATTATTTAGCCTGAATAATTAATTACTATAAACTGAATATCTATATCGAGTTATGTACATATTGCTTTGGTATTGTAGGAGCCATATACTATAACTTTTATTCTGGGGATTTTTTTTTCTGATCCGTTTGGTTACTTCTAATTTGAGGTCTAACTGGTGAAGTGCTTTTTATTAATAAAATACAAACAATGATAGCAATCTCTGAGGTTCTTATAGAGAAAAAACGCTGTGGTTTTGGGGTTGGGATCTTTTTTTTCCTTTTTCTTCTCTTTTTTTTTTTTGTTTTTTTTTGTCTTTACCCTGGGAAGTGGCTAAGTTTGGGTGTTTGACATTAATGGGCAAAGACAGCCTTTGAGGAGGGCTGCTGTTAGCTCTCCTGCAAACGCTGCAGCCTTCAGAGGGCTGTTTGTTTGATTTTCCAATGATTAAGCAAGATTTGGCCTGCCCGCGCTACCCACGTACTGCCTGACAGAGCGCTCTTCGCGGCGGAGTGAGGGGAGCTCGGCGTGTGTTCCCCACCTGAGTTGTAGCTGACGATGTCCACTCCTAGAGCAGGGCTCTTTCGCTTTCTGGGCCTCCCCTTCTGGACGGTGCCGGTGCCGTTGAAGTAAGGCAGGGCCAGACCTCCGCTCTTGGCAGCCAGCTCGGTGTAGCTCAGCTGAGGTGGATACTCTCCTTGCAAAAGGGACTCGAAGTGGGCCCTGCAGTAAACCAGGTTGTCCTTCATGCCAAAGTGATCGCCCGTGGTCAGAGTCTTGTTGCAGGTGGTGCAGGTGAAGCAGCTCAGGTGATAAACCGACTCCCTGGCTCTCATAACCATTTCAGAGGCTGAGATCCCAAGGTGGCAGCGGGCACATCTCTGCACGGAGAACCTTCTGAAGGAAACAGAAACGTGGGCATCAACGGGAAAGGTAAAGGCAGACCTTGCCCCAGTTCCGCCCGCCTTCCCTGCCGGCCACGGGAGCTCGGCGGGGAGCCCAG